TAGAAAGAAAGACCGGAGATAGCAGAGATAGCAGACGGTGTGCATATTGATGAACCCACTGGTGTCCAGTCCGACTCGTCCTCATCGGCTTCTTCCTCCTCGTCGTCTTCGTCGTCATCGTCCTCCAGTGATTCATCAGAGTCTGAGACAACAGATTCAGACGAAGACAGGTGTCGGGAGAAACAGAAGCACAGCCCGTCACACGGTGACAAACGGAGAAGAAAGCGGTGAGTAATGAATTATGGGAGCCGTGGGTGGCCTATTGGTCAGCGCGCTCAACTCCCGGTCGAGAGATCTGAGTTCAAGCCTCGTCAAAATTCATTTTGTGAGACCTTGAACCATTCTTCTTGAAGAAAAATTGCCTGGTGAATAACTTGGGAGTCGAACCAAATGCGGATTTCCTTCAGCGCGAAGTCATTTCTTCTCGAATTTAGTTAGCTCTTCTGTTGTCTTCTGTTTGTTTTTGCCCATGCCATGCTCTCGAACAAGACGAAAACGAGACTGTCACCTTTTATAAGTACCCCGCTGTTTTTTGTTTACCTCTTTTTTGCTTGTCAGAACTGACCAAGATTCTGTCCTGGGCTAGCGTCTACCTTGTGTATGCTTTGCATGAGACCTGAATTTGCAAAGGATTTTGAGAAAAATGTTGAACAATAACGGACCCTACAATTATGCCACGACCTTTTGCTCCGCGTTTTCAATTCGTGTGCCTGAGAGTTTAAAATATTGATCTCATTTGTTGTAGGCCGAAGCAGAATTCTCCACCTTCATCAAGGGAAGAAAATTTAGGCCCAGGCTCCCCAAAACGTGGTAGATGACCGTGCTTAAGGTGAGTGATTAAAATGTTAAACCCAACATTGTCACAATAGCCAATCAGAAATTGGTTGATATCAGAAGGAGCCAATCAGAGGTCAAAGTAAATATTTGTAACTTATATGACCGATGATTTATTTAACTCCCTGCGTGACAGTTAGGCGTTCATTTGCATGTGTGACCACTAATGACGCTGGAGATTGCGCTACAAATCAAAGCGCCATGTTGGTGACTAATCGTTCACGTGGTACGATTACAGCTCTCTCGTTGGTTACCGACCTTACTGCCGCTCTACACGACTACGAGGTTTCAATCCTGGATTACTTCTGACATAGTAATCCTGGTAATCATAGCAATCCTAGTGATCTTTTCTTAATTTGCTTTGAGAATTCAAATGGGTAAAAAGTTCAGTAGTCGTTCTGGTCTCTCCCTTCATCTCGTTGCATGATCTCAAATGGTGCAGTAAAGCAACAAGGCGAGAAAAGTCCCATCCTCACGAACTGTTATCTCCTCGCTATGTACTTTCTTTCTCTAGGTTGCTCAGGAGGTTCCCGGCGAAATGAGATGCTCACCCAAACTGGAACGTAGAACATTTTTTTCAGAAGCTCGATGCAGCAATCGTGGACGAAAAGATTTCAAAGACGTCAATAAATTGATTCTATAAACAGCGAACGCTTATGACGGGCTATCACTCTTTGACCCTCTTTTCTTGAAGTTGATTTACATAGGAACAAAAAGAAAAATAATTTTTTGCTGTTTCATCCTACTTGGGTGGCAGTTTTGTAGTTGTAGAATGGAAACAAGAAGGCGATGGCGCGTCAAAAGGGTTGAATTTTAAGTCAACATCTTCCTTTCTATTTTTCTCAGAGCTTCATCGCTTGTTTTTGCGGCGGGAAACAATCACAAACCACCCACCACGCATCCGTTTTGCTTTTTCATTGCCACGGTGTTTGATGTGATGTTACTTAAAAGCCCGTAAATTTATTCCATGTGGTTTATGCTTGCTGCTGGTGAGAAATTTTCCCCATTTTGATTCCCTTTCCCATCTCATCTCCCTTTCATCAACTAACGTGACAGAACTGCTTAAATGCTCGAGAATGATGTTTGTTCCTACTGTGTGTCGCTTTATTGCGACGTTGATGAAATTTAGGGCTCGAAAGTTTTCAGAGTGCACTGAACTCATGCTTTCCGATTTGCAAGACAAATCTAATCGTTAAATAATTTTTTTCGGATTGGAGAGGTACATTTGTGGTATTCATGTTGAAAAATTAGCTTTGGCATATTCGATCACGTGATGTGTTTGGACCAATCACGAGCGAGCAAAGATATTTGATAGATTATAAACAAAATCATTTCTTTTTCTGAAACACTGATTGACAATATCAACTACTCACTTGGCTTCAGATAGTGACATGACCAAACAAGTCGGGATAACTTCTTTTATTTATTCTGTTCCTTAAATTTTGCGTCCGAATGTTTTTGAAGGAGAGCGTGGATATCGATAATCACCGCTGAAAATCTGCCAAGGCTTTCTGAGTTGGTCGCGTCATCAAAAACATCTCACGGCCGAAGCCCTTTGAATTCAAGTGATCGGAAGTGCTTCTTATATCTAAAAATAATAAGTTTAGCCTGAGACGTAGCCTACGTGTAGCCGCACCCTCCCCCCTAAAGTGAAACGAAGGCAAGGGAGCTCCCTCGCCTCCGTTTCACCTTTGGAGGGGAGGGTGCGGGTGTCGTCCATTAGATCATAAGTATGAATCAATGAAAAGGCGTGTAAATTCAACCTGTTATATAATATCAGAAGCTTATAGCCCTGAAGCGATTATTTTTGTCCGAGAGCTGGGCTTTATCAGAGCGTGAGACTAGCCTATCGGAATTTACTTCCTAATATGGAGTTGTTTATCTTAAATGATAACTGAATGCGTAATAAGTGAAACTTTACTGCGGTAATAATCGGGAATAACGTCAGGAAATTGCAGTTTCCAGACAGCAAAATCGACCATACTTTAGAAAACCGACCAAACTTATGTTTGTAAACAGATACAAACCGCATAGTTATTATTGTAAGCGCTTTGCACGCTCTGCACGCCTTGCACGCTTTGCATGCTTTGCGAGTCCAATTTACGGCCAAGTTTATTGATGTTCTTCAACACTTGAGGATATCCTAATATTCAAGCAACGGGTATTTTACTCCGCAAGCGGGTCAGGGCAGAGCTAAACACCTAACTTGCAGATAACTGATGAAATTTAACATTTAAAAGCTCTTTAAGAGCTACTGAAACCTAGTTTGTCTAGGTGGGAACGCAATGAACATTCAACAGGTAATTAAACCATTTATTTTGTAGCAAATGAATAAAGGGGCTGTGTTTATAAAGAAACTGTGGTGCTGTGTGGTTCGTAGAGTATAACAAGGTAATTTGAGGACGTAAAATGGCCACCGTTAATAGTTTCAAAGCTGACGTTCGAGCGTTAGTCCTTCGACAGATTGAATGGAGGAATTGGGGGTTGTCTGTGTAATTTATATGCAGAAAATGGATTTACACTGTTGGTGGGAACTTGGTCACGAAAAAAACAACGATAAATTAGTTGAATTACTTGCGTTCGTTGATACCGTGGGGATTAAGTCTTGATGCCGATTTGATCGATTTTGTAGATAATGTGTTTAAAGACGACCAAAAGTTCATGTTTTTAAAATCAACCCTTTAACTTAGCTTTCAGAAGTGATTAGCATGTAACTTCACTCTGTAAAATCAAACCATTTTCCAGCAACAGGTAATGAGAATACTCAAACTTATCAGGAAGAACTAACACTAAATTCTCCTCAGTAGTTTACAAGGAAATGTCTTGCGGCTGGAGGGGAGAATTGATAATAAGATCTTGTGAGTTTAAGGATTAAGCTAGCTGAGCTATATTTCACTTAATATTCTTATCAAGATAGAGCAGATTAGCTGACAGAACAATAAGGAAATATACTCAAATATGAAATTTTTATTTTGTTTTTTATTTTTTTATTTTCTTTAACAAGTCTTGAAACATCCAGTCAAGTTGTTTATCAAGATAGGATTGGTGAGCAATTACATGTGCATTCACTTATTTTTTATTTAAGTTCTTGATGTGCAATTATTTAACCCACTCTTATTATTGAATATTAGCTGAATATCAAAATAAGTTACATTTCTTGCCAGTTTTAAACTTAACAAATGTTAGCGTCAACTTCTACATTTTGATTAGATCACTCTCAATTTAAACGGCAGAAATGTTTTTATGGTCTGAACATTTGCATTCCCCAGGTTAGAAATCTCAAATGGTTTTTTGGACTTTAAAGCTTTTTTAAAAATTTGTTTTAATCTTTTGTTGTTATTGTTATCATAAGTATTATTATTATTATTATTATTATTATTTGGAAACAATTTTGGTGTAAACTTTTATCATGCGTCGATCCCAGATGCAGGCCCCGTGCTCTTGCAGTAGGAGAGAGACTGTGGAGTAGTAAGGATACAACTGACTTAAATGACGCTACAATGCGACGCTGGGAGCACAGGTGTCGTTATTTCAGGTACTGACAACATTACTTAAGTGGCAAGCTCTTAAAATATTTCCTATTTCAATCTCAGAAACGCAATTTTAAAGCATTTTTCTTTTTGCTTCTTTGAAATCGAGAGACATTGATTCAGGCCCCAACCACACCAATGCGTGTTGTTAAGTTTCCGTTTTCGTCTCAAGCCAAACAAAGCAGAATGTTTTCACCCACTCGAGCGTTTTCGTTTTGCTTTCAACTGTCCATATAACTGTCAACGGATAGGTCACGTAACAACTGTTTGGAAGTGAGAGAGAACTGAAGTCAGTCCCTAGTTCACGAGGCTGAGATAACCGTTTAGCTCCGACATGATTCACTCGACGTGGGTTGCGCGCAAAGCAAACGAGCTTGATCCTGCACGAGATACCGACTCTGAGTGAAATAATGAGGTGTGAATAAGTCTCTCTCATAACTATCTTTCAGGTTGCATATATATAATATTGATTACTTTTCTTTGTATATTCTTCCTTCTTTCGTAGGCGTAAAATACCAGCAGAGCCTGACGTGAGGTCTCAATATTGCAGATATGAATGGAGGGTTTAGTTAAATGGTGACTCAAAGACAAACTCTTAACCAGTTGCCACCATGATATTCTCTTGATTACCTCCTATTTGTTTGAATTTCGAAGTTAGAGGGACTTAGTCCAACTTGACTATTTTTTCTTGATTTGTATAGGTACAATCCAAATTACTTTTAACGAATCTTAAATTATTACCATACCTCACTGAATAAAGGTGTGGTTTAGAAATGTAGCTTAGTGCGTTTGTGTCAAAAGCTCTTTTGAATTATATCTACCTATCTGTACTACGAAATTATAAGGATTTCACCTACAGTCGTTACACGTGGGAAATGACTGTCTCAGAGCTTCAAACAAACCAAAAGAATTAAAAACGAAATCCAATCGGTTCGAAGAACTATTGAAGCATTCTTGTTCTTAAATTATTTTAATCGACATTCAAAAGGCAAGTAGAAAGCCCATTTTACCATTAAAAGTAAACGCTCGTGTTCGTTAAGATGTTTGAAATGAACGCAAACTGAAGGAGTACTTACGTTCCAGTTGTAGAAATTAACGCGAATTAGATGCTTAAATTTGTCAAATGGGAGAAACTAACGCAAATAAGACAGATACAAAGTAAAATTGGCATGTCAAATTTCGTGACTCATGAAACGATAATTTCCTGTATTGAGGTTAGAGAAAATGATGGTTCAAGGATCGCTAACAAGTGTACAAGCCGTTAAGGTTTTCTGAATTCATATTTTGACCCATCTAGATTTATCGATCGTAGCGGAGCTCGCGCGCTTAGCGTAGCCCCATATTATAAGAGTAGTAGTAACCCATCTAGCCGAGAAGATTTAGTTTGGTGTACAAGGTACAAGGTGCTTCCTTTAGCATGTAAGGCCACCTGCGTTACGGGCTTAAATCTAGCATTAACGTAGGTAAAAGGAAGACGGAGAATATTTTGCACACGCGCGATTGCGTGCGTAACTTTGAAGCCCCATACGTGTGAACTGAGTGCGCCTTACGAAACTAATTCAGACACAAAGTGATAAAGGGCGCATACCCTAATGCCGAGCCTTGTGGCAGCAAACCACGAGCACCTAGTTAGGCATTACACGATGGCTTCACGTGGGCTAGTAGATGTGAAGCCGCGCAAGAAAAGAATTTATAACCCGTGTTTTTAGCGGGAAATCATACTGATTAGTTGGTAGTTGAAAACATCATCGATTCTCTGTATTTGAAGTTTCTAATCAAAATACAAAGCAACAATACTCATAGCTAAAGCGGCTATGTTGAATAGAAAGAAATCATTTTAATTCAAGTTTCTGGTGAAAGCGTTTAGGGTTAAAATAGGCTGAAACAGAGAGAGCAAGAAGTATTAAGGTGCTAGCGAGTCGGGAAAATGGCAAAGAGAGCGAGAAACAACGCAAAAAGCAGGTCGAAACACGCTAAGAGGAATACCAAAGCGGACATGAGAAGACTTATACAAAACGGTGAATAACTAGCGAAGAGCAACGTGAGAAGGAAAGACAAAGAGCTCCAGAAAACAGACTGAAAAGAGGTCAACAACTAAGAGAAACCGAACTACACGCTACGGCCCAAAGAAATTAAAAAATTTCTAATCAATCGTCGTTTGAAACTGGAAGAATTAAGTGTTCGAGCTGTGATCGTGTATTGAAATGGGGCCTGGCACTGTGCTCACAAGACTGGCTGGTAAGCAAATGGTTAGCGTAAATAATTGTTGCTTACAGTTTTCAAATTCAAAAGCAGTTTTTTCATATTATCTGAGTGTTTAAAATTCGTGAATCCGGTTCTGTAACCTGCCTAGATATTTTCTGTTGAATTCATTGAGTTGCACCCTCGGAATTTCATAAGTGATTATAAACGATAAATTCGGCACCACAAATAAGGCACTTTTACATTTATCAGTTTACAACTTATGAACCATTTCTGTACCCTGCTTAGAATTTATTTTCTGTTGAGTACTTAAAATTTCATGAGTGATTATGAACGATAAATTCGCATCTGCACCACAGCTAATTAAAAGCAAATTTCAAACTTTTCATACGATTTTAGGACTCTCGATTATTTGACATAATTCGTTTTATGGAGTCTTGATTATTTTGTGGCCCTAGAGTGAACAGTTTAAGGCTTTTAAATATTGAGGCCGTCCCACAAAACTATATTTCTATATTTTTTCCACCTCGCGAGAAGTTGAAACTATAATTTAACACTTGTATGTAGTTTCTAGGACGGAAGCCAGCCATATTGAATACCAAAGCATATACGGAAAGGAGAGGAAGAAACAGTTAACGGTATTCATCGACGTCTATGACAGTGATTTTTTTTATTGATTCTTTTTTTTCTTTGTTAAGGTTTCTCCGACGCCTTACGCAAAGTCGATGGCAATCGAGAGATTACTGAATTTCCCCGTGAGTTCGATCAGGAGTAGAACCGACACATTCGTCTCTTTTCGATTATGGTGACGCCTGACACCCGTAGGCATTCACTCTAGTTCATTATTATAATAAAGTTCGGATATAACGCGCGCTGTCATCGCTTGAAAGAGCGTGCTCTATGAGAATATAGAGCATAGAGCTGAGCTTAAGCTGTCACGCCATCTGCCAAATTGGACTATAGACTGTGGTTTCGCCTGTTTCGTTTCGTTTCCTTTTGCACGTTAAGGTCGTTTCGTTTTGGTCGTTTCGCTTGTTTCATTTCGGTCATTTCGTTTTGCTGTTATGGGCTTTTAGTACATGTCTAATTTCCTAAACAACTGTGACATGAAGAAGATCCATCCCCTCCCCCACCCCCCTCCCCCCCGTCTCTCGAAGGAACAGTGGCATTCTGTCTGGAGATCTGGGAATTAGATCTAATTAAGAGGCTTGGATACCAAGGTTGGTTCTCCGTGACCTGTAACGTCACTCTAGCAACTCAAAGACGTTTCACGTGTCAGGTCTTTCGTATGACATTCATGTGCATGGAACATATTTGTTCATGAGGAATATTTGACTGTTTCTGTTGCTGGTCGAACTGCTTCCCAATGGATTTAATCATACTCCACCAATTCATAACCTTTTTATCAATTTTGTGTTCGATTCAAAGAACAGATTCTCACGTTCTTTCACATGAGGACGCTCGAAGCGTTAATGATCTACCGGCTCCAGAATCTTTTGTTGATAGTTTGTTCGAGACATATGGAAAGAATAAATCGATGATGACTCAGGCAGAGTTCAGCTCTTTGTTGAAAGTACTTAAAGTTGGTTCTATTTCAAGAGAAACGACAAGTTCTGCTGAATTGGCGGAGGAGAATGGAGTGAAAAACGGATATCCTAAGGTAGGCCTTCCATTAAAGCAGCCTGGGATTCTCTTAAATTACTAGTACTTTAGCTATGAAATGTATTGTTTGTGAATCGTAGCCTTCGGTTTTAGCATGAAGTTCTCCAACTTACTTTAAAGATGAATTGCATTTACTATTTTGAAGAAAAGTCCCCTTTTTGTGTCTCCTCTCCGATGATCAAACAATTGAACTCCGCAGTCGTGATTAAATTAAGTCGTAAATTCTTCGCGATCAATTAAAAGATTAGACCACAAGGAAGTCGTATATTTCAGGAAACTAACCTCATTAAACGAGATGGTCTAACTTGCCTTAATTATCTATAATGTGTTTATGTTTTTAAAAGAAAGACCTTTTCGTGTTCCATCCTCTATGTTCAAACAAATCACGAGGGTAGCTGTAGATCACTGGAAAAATTGAACTGAGGCTACTAATAAGTCATTTAAAGTGGATCTCCTGATAAAAATGTGCAAATTTTACGGTTTACAGTTGAAATGTGGTACTAAATCGAAAATTTATCATTTGAGGTTGAAGTTGTTACTAATTATGTTTTAACATGCCGGCTTTGCCTGGGCTTCCCTAGTGTGGCAATGCATTCACACGTGGCATAGACCATTTAATGAAAGTTAAGGTACCGCAGTGATTCTATCTCTTTGCACTGTACACTAATCCTCCTTTAATACATTTGTAGATATAAGTTTGGTTTGGATATAGCCTTTGGAAGATAACTCGTGATTTCAGTAGTCGTGCTTCCACATGAAGTGACATTTTGGCTAGTGGATTAATTAGTGCTCTTCAACTTAGGAAACTGCTTTGTTCCGATATTTAATGAGTATCGCTTGAAAAGCCGTTAATGTGAAATCATGAGAGCTGCAAATTTACATGAAGTCTCAGTTAAAGTGTATATTTATTTATTTGATTTGAGGCGGTTTTGGATTGAAAAGTTTTAATCGATATTATAGTCAAAACTGCACAAGACTGCACACTAACAATAGGTGATATATGAACCATCTGACTACTACCTTGAGGTGTAATTGTGAAGGTCGTGCCCTGATGATGCAAACAAATTTTTTTTAATTTATATTTATGTGGCAGTTTTTGATTGTTAATATTGTCGTTTACTTTGGATCTTAAACTTAGAGACTGTACACTGAACCCTTTCACTTGAAATTCTCCTTACTGTCTGCTATAGAGATCTTAAGGATGTTAGTTCAGAGAATTTGATATGTGATCAACTAATGATCCCCTAATTGATATTTTTCTTGAATCTCATCACTTCTCTTTCTGATATTGTTGGAAGAAATTCTGTCTTGATCACTTGTGGGTAACTGGTGATATCTAATGCAGGGTGATGATTGGTTCAAATGACTTTCTTGAGATTATATTGCATGAGTCATGTGCTGAAGAGGTCAACCTTTTTTTTTATTTGTATTTTCACAACAGATTATTACTGGCTCTCATAATTTATATGGCTATGTGAACTTTAAGACTACACACTAGACTGGAAAATTAAAATTACATTTTGTGTAAAGAATATTATTTCATATGACCTCATCAAACTTTTGTTCCATAAGTCATGTGCTTACTGGTAAGATACCAATCTTGTACATGTATGTGGCAATCATATCCAAAGGATTTTTGCTTGTGTAGAAATTTTTTTAAAAAGACAGCCTAGTGACAATACTTGCTACATGTAAGTTTTCCTTGTGAACATTATATCAGGTATTCCTTACCAAATATTGCTTGGTCTCATAACTGTTCTTTCAATAATTTTTTTTATCCAATATCTGAACCTTTAGAATTATATTTTCTCAAAAAAAAAAAAAAAAGACATACAAATACAGATATAAAAAAAAAAATTAGTTTATTGTTAGCTTAATCAGTTTGAATCACTTGAATTGCGGATTTTTCCTGATGAGAGGAAATCTGGAAAACTCAGAGGAGAGTCCTTGGAGCAAGGATAGGAATTAGCAGCAAGCAGGAATTAACCCTTTTACTTCCAAGATCTCAGTAGTAATTCTCCTTACCCTAATTGCCATACAGTTGTTATGATGTTCATTGGTGAATTTAGTAAATGGATTGATCTATAGTCCCCCAATTGATATTTTTTTCTATTTTCATGAATATTCTGCTTGTCTACTTGATATTGTTTGGATATTGTAAGGAGAAGTTCTGTCCTGGTCACTTATGGGACATAAAGGATTAAATTTGTGCAGCACCCCTGCTCCCCTAATCTCATGGTTATGTGGATAGGTAGAGAGTAAAAAAAATATAAAGAATGAATTACACTTAAAAAGTCTAGAAGAAAATTTCATAAATTTTTCAAACTGTTTCTTTTGGCTGATGCCCTTTTTTTTTTCTTCAGAATTTGTAGAAGCAGGAAAAAAGAAAGGTTTACTTTTTTACACTTTTTCTCTTCATCTAAGAGAATAATTAATCAATTTTTTTTACCTTTCACAATTAATAAAGAAAGTCTCCCCTCCCCCCCACAAAATGATTTTGTAAGTCTGGGCAAAATGTGTGACATGCTTACAATGTATGGGAGCTTGTGTGAATAATTTTTGTCTTTTCTTGAAGTATTAATAATAATTGCAACTGTACTTTGACATTTTGATATTAATTTTTGTTTCAATCCAGTGCTATTCAGCCAAAGTATTGTTTGAAATCTTTAACATCAAGTCTACTGGCTTAAATCCAAGAAAATTTGAAGAAATATGTCCAGCAATAGTTGAACAAATTGAAAGCAAGGCTTGCCTTGCAGAAGGAAATGAAGAAGAGAAAAAAGAGGTGAAGCAAGGAAGGGCTCAAGGTAATTAAGTGTCTTGTCTAAGATAATCTTTCTCCAACAAACTTTACTTATGTTTTCATTTTACTTTTTCTCTAAAGATTCTGGTAATCAGAGGCAAAAGAGAACATAAATTAAACTGGTTGGAAAAAATTAAAATTCAACAAAGAAGAACCACTTGACTGTACAACATATACATGAACATACAGTTATTGTCACAGTGTGTATATCACATTCTTGCTAAATATTTAGTTTGAGAATAAGTGTAATCCTGTTGGGGAAATGGCAAGTTTTTGAGGGAAAAAATTGGATAGGAGTCTGAAATTTTTTAGCTAAATGTTGTCTTGAATTATTGTTTACTCAGCTGCAGAGAACAGGTTTAGGAAAGCTCTTGGGATACTTTATTTCACCAAAGTAGTGCGCATGGTTCAATAAAAGGTGAAACATCTTCACAGAATAGTGGAATATAGCTGCCCCCTCCTTGGAATTCAATAAATGATTACATCCAACCAACATTCTTGCGGTGATGCTATGAAAATCAACCAGATGAGGACTAAGTGATGTTTTCTTTCAAACCAAACTGTTGTTTTACATGTCTTGCTTGACATAAGAGAAAACACTGTTGAAAACATCATGTGAAGGGATTTTTTTTTGTGACAGAAGAAATTTATAATATTCGTCTCTAGGTGAAAATTGTTAAAGAGTTATTTTTGCAATTATTTTCTATTGTTTTTTTAAGGCTCATGTCTTATTTTTTTTTCAGCCTGGGGATATGGGTTCTTTTCAGTAACAATAATCAGCTGCGCCTCTCTACTTGGAGCCTTTGTTGTTCCATTTATGAACCGATCATTTTATAAGATTCTCTTGTTACTTATGGTATCTCTTGCTGTTGGTGTATTGAGTGGCAGTGGAATCTTTCATCTTATTCCACACGTAAGTGTTAACTACAAAATATCAATATTGATCAGCCTTTGTGCACTGCAATAAAATTGATATTTTTTTACCATTCTTCCCCTGAAAACTTCTATAATGTTGTAACTCTACTTCACTGTTCAAGGTAATCAATTAAAGCATGATTGGTTATAATGATAATGAAAATATAATATATCTTTTAAGAGGAGGCCATCAGCACTACAAATGCTTTTCAATGGCGTCCTTTGAAAATAGAATGTAAAAAATAATTCAACAAAAAAGCTATGAAAATAAAAAATGCAATACAAATAAAAACAAGCCTAAGACAAGCATGTAAAAATTTATTTAGATTCCTTGTAGAAATTGCTGTGATTTTAACAAGAAGATTTCATTTTATTGTACATTTTCTTCTAACAGACCTTTGGCCTCGGCACTGATGGTGATAAAGCATATCTATGGAAATGTTTGGTGATTGCCTCTGGTGTCTACTTATTCTTTTTCTTGGAATACATCATGAAAATGATTGTCAGATTCAAGCAGAAGTCTTCATGTGAAAATGAAGAAGGACTGGTATGTCAAATGATGAATATTTAACTTAGCAAATGTTCTGACAATTTTGTTTAATCTGCATGTTTCTTACTTCAGACTGTAAGTGATTCAGGAATGGGTTCTTGGGTTTTAAATGTACCCTATCTCTGTTACACCCTAGGGAGATTGTTAAAGATGGGATCACAGTGATTTAGACCTTAGGGTTTAAGTTTTAACAATAAAAGTTCTGATCTACACAGAAGTTTTATCAAAGCACAGAAACATAAAACTGCGTCATTTAGGCCTTACGTAATGATGTAATATAGTTAAAGGAAGGGAAAACCTGTTTGAGATGAAGGAGTTTAATACTGATGTACATGTGAAAAGAATCTATGTGTAAAATTTTGTAGTAGGATTTACCAATAAACTAACTGAGCAAATTACTTGTCATCTTTGCCCTTAAGAATGGTTGTTTTCAGGATTCCAAGCTCATGTTTTTCAATCAAGTCACCATTTGGAAAACTGAAATAGATACCAAAGGTCATAGACACTAAGGGTAAAATTTTAGTCATCAGGAAAAGGAAAAAGAGTGAAGAAGGACACTCTGTGAAATGTTATATCACCATTAAGACCATAAACACCTAGAATTAAAGACAGCTCAGCATGCTGCATGACTGTCAAACACTGCTTAACAAATTGATACCTTTCACCAAAATAAAGGTGCCAATTTTTATGATACTATCCACAGTTTAGAGTGCTACTTTTAAGGTTCACTTATCAGTATGATAATGAATGATTCGCAGTCAGTTTCAGCATATTGCAGTTTTGTTGAATGCTGTTGCTTGCTACAAAACTGAGCAAAGAGACATTGTATTGATAACAAATTTATTTATGGAAAACTTAAATTCTAATTTCCAAGGGAACTGCAACAGCAACATCAAAGAATGACCTACCTGGTGCAGGAATCGCTGATGTTCAACTTCAACTCTACAATGTCAACCTGGATGGTCACCATAGTCATGCCATGTGCTTGAGCCAACAGTTACCAGATGTACATGTCTGTGGAAATGGTGCCAAACAAAATGGCACCTCAGAGGATTCTCAGAAGGTTTAATTACATCTTTTTGTGCCTTATTTATCATAAATTGTCATCATTATTATTTTCATTATTATTACTGATATAACCTACATACATATTCTTGCTAGAAACAGTTGTCTTGAAATTAGATACAGTATTTCCTTGAAGAAGCACCCAGGCACCCATTACAAATTTCAGTTTAAAGAAGCCATGCTTTTTGAAAGGAGGGCACTTTATTGATTGGGGGTTTATTGAGTTAGCTTAGAAATGAGAACAGATAAGACGCATGAAGGAACTCTTCAAGGTTGTGGAGATAGAAGTAACTGAAACAGGAAAGAAACTATTGTCCTGTACTGATTCTGCTGCAGTTGAAGCTTAAAATGTTTTGAATGAAGTCGCCAAAGAAACTGGTTTTCCTTGTGTTACTACCATTAAGAAAGCGAGGAAGGTGGGGATGGTAATTTAATTGGGAAAGAGTGATTTTTAGAGCATGAGTGCTTATTCAAGGAAATGTGGTATAAAATAAAAATTATGGCCATCTTTGTTCTACTTCCTTAACTTGACAAAAAGGAAAATAAAAATGCTGAAAAGCAAGTAACTTATTTACAAATATGCTATTATAACTACTCTGATTATGGTTGTTACTATTATCACCTCTACCATTACAAAGTAAAGCAAGACTAAAGCAATCTTGAACTTCTGTGTAATTTTAGTGCTTGAAAGTGTTTCTGGAAATATGGGAGTTCTTAATGTGAAGTGATATTGTTTATAATGCAGTTTGTTGAAGGGAGTGGCACATCATCACCAAAAAAGAAAGTTGCTCCTGTTGCGTGGATGATTATCATAGGGGATGGACTTCACAACTTTATAGATGGCTTGGCTATCGGTGCATCTTTCTCCAGTTCAACATTTGTTGGCATCAGCACAGCTTTAGCCATATTCTGTGAAGAATTGCCTCATGAACTAGGTAGTAGTTTGTCTCTTTTCTGCATTCAGCCTTATAGGTCAATGAACTTCTCTCAGTACTGTTTCATTGTAGAGTTATCCTTAATAAAAAAAAGTACTACAAGAACCCACATTTGAGTGACACTCAAATGGCTGAATGCATAATTAACCTTTATCAAAATGCTAGACTTTTTAAACTTTCCCAAGATTTGCATAATTTGCCAGGAACCCCACATTAGTAGGACTCAAGTAGCCTTTAAAACAACTGCTTTCAGAAATGGTGACTCACCAGCCATCATCAGAGTCACTTTGGATGGGCATCCCTCATGATGATGGTCACATTATGCAATTGATTACCAGCTACAAGCCTTTCCCCTAAAATTATAGCATGTTTAAAAATGTAGGCTAACTAAAAGGAGATTTAGCTTTAAATATTAGCCAAACAGCCTCTCATATCATTCTCAAATTTATCCTTTAGGGGATTTTGCTGTTCTTCTCAATGCTGGCATGACTTACAAAATGGCCATGGGATTTAACTTCCTTTCAGCATGTGCATGCTATTTAGGACTGATTATTGGACTTCTTCTTGGTTATGCAACATCAGCAGTCAAGTGGATCTATGCCCTTGCTGGAGGAATGTTCATCTACATTGCTTTGGTTGACATGGTAAACACTATGTTCCTTTCAACCCTTTAACTCCCAGATTAAATTTGTAATTCTCCTAAATGTCAACCATACAATTCTTATAATGTTAGTTCAGAGAAGTTAGTATTGGATCAACTTGTTATCCCCAAATTGATATTTTGCTATATTCTTATCACTTATCTGGTTGACAATGTATTAATATTGTTAGGAGAAATTCTGTCTTGGTCACTCATGGGAGTTAAAGGGTTAAACTCTTGCAAGCCTCTATTTTTGTAAGCCAGGCTTTTCCGGTTATTTAGGTTGTGTATTGTCTCAAGAATTTGAAATTTGGATGTCCTTGTGGGGAATAGTAATGGAAGGGATGTTTAGGAAGTGTTGGGAAGAGATTAATTTGAATTTTTTTGGAGTTAATTCCTTTAGGGCAGCAGTTCTGAGTAAAATGGGATTTTACTCTGGTTTAACAATCTACTTAAATTATGGGAAGTAGCTACATAAGCCGCCTCTTCCTGATCACCAAGCAAGCTTTTCAGATAAAGAGGAAATGGTTTATTTATCCTAAAATATACCAATTTCTGTCAGTAGGAAGGGCAAGTCAAAATACAAACCACTGAAAATACCTTGCGATACTACACACCAAAATGTCTTTTAAATTATTTATTATCCAACTGCTTTTTTTCTCTGCCAAGTCTTTCTGCTCATTTCCCATAAGATGGGAGAGGCAAAGCAGATGGAGAAGAGTAGCGTGCGCAGCCGATTGGTTCAACAGCTTACCTTACAAAATAACCAACTGTCCAAATAACCGTACAATATCGCAGGAAGTTTGAACTTTATTTGCGCTTTATTTGTACTGTACCTTCTGCTGTTGGATAATCATATTGAGAGCTCTGTAGTAGAGAATGAGTAACTTTTGAGTCTTGATGGGCTCTGTTGTAGCGTGCAATTGTGATTTCATGAATAATTTTGATAAGTATGAATTGATGTTACATAATGACAATAAGTACTTGTCTGTGTTAAATAAATATTTACTACGCTCATCATTTTTAACAGTTGGAGGAAGCCTCTGAGATGTCTGTCAAGATTGGTCAAAGTTCCATTCGCAAGAATCTCAAGACTTTTGCCCTTCAGAATTTTGGCATGATCTTTGGTTTTTTAGTCATGTTTCTTTTGGCTCTGTATGGAGAGGAGATTTCAGTGGTGTAAGATATTTATCACACAATTAATTTTTTTTGGGTGAGCCTTTTTTTTTAAGTCTCGCCAAATACTGATGTTGACTTACAAGAATAACTTGGGGTGCTGAGAGTGAAATTGTTAAGTGATTTAAACTACATGAATTTTGTACTGAAAATACTAACAAAGTCAGGGTTCTTAAAACCGCGGTTATAATGACTGAAGAGGAAGTTTATTTTGTGGTTGAAATTTATCCCTGTTTCATTTTCAGAGGTTTGTTTATTTGTGCTTGAACATTAAAACGCGTGTAACTGACTGATGAAGAATATAAAATATTAGAAAATGAAAACTGAACCGGGATAAAATTGAATCTCAAAGTATGTTGAGAATTATTGGACACATAATCAGACGTTTCTAGCGGAGGGAATTAAAACGAGGGTTGTAAGCAATCGGAATTGTATCGGCCTTTGTCTGCTTTGCTATAGATGGTCTTACCAAGACATCGCTCAGTGACTGGTTCAGAAAAAAAGACTTACGCTCCTTTCCGGACCAATTAGGTAGTAGTAAAACAATGTATTTTCCCTCACAGCGGTCAGACGTCACGCATGCGCTATTTGATCAGTTTCGGCCAATGTACGCTGAGGAAACAAGAGTAACAATCAATGTTTCGTAAAATTAGCAAAGAAAAAGTGAAACTTTCCCTGAAGTTTACGGAAGGAAACAGTAGTAGTGAAAAGGAAAAGTTGTGCTTTTTCATTCGAACAAAATAGTAATTACAGAAAAATTCAGTTAATTTTCTATTTTTGTTTCGAGCTATACCAAGAAATTATAAATTTTGGTTGTTTCAATTTGTCATTTACAAACTGAAAACCAAGCCGCCATTTTGAATTGCTGTTAGCCTTTTCTACATTCTCACATGCGCACACTTTTGACCATGCTTCCGCGCAAGACGCAGCAGACATACGTAGAGCGCTCCCTTTTTGGGAGAAAGGTGTTGTGTTTAATTACTATTACCCCTTCCACTGTAACCCAGGAAAAGAAACTTTCACCAGCTATTGAACTGATTGAAGGCCTTCTAGCTAACAATTTCATTAATTTTTTTTAGCTCCATTGGCCTATCGCTAAAGTAATTTTTTATCGCAAAAAGAATTGTTTTGGAAGGATACGGTAGCCTTGAGCAAATTGTCATTTAGTTTAACCAAAAAAAATTATCAGTTCTTCTAGCTGGGCGTTAGTGTTCTTTGCTTTTCGCAGATACGAGAATCTGCTATTACATTATGAATTTTACAATTTATTTTTATTGATAAGAATAATTGTAACGAATATTTAAACGTTTCTTATGCCTAGTGTAATGTGGAAATTTTATTTGTCAATTACAATTTCAGCCAGGCAATTTTTTGACTTTTTAACCTTGATATGTGATTTTCAGCATTGGTTGTTCTTATTAACCTTAATAATTTCGGATATCGATTCTTTGAATTGCGGTTTATATGTATTTATTGAAGAAAAAACTCTCCATACGAAGTATTTTTTTGTTGAATCAATAGGGGATGTGTGTTCTTTACATTTCTGAAAACTCTAATTCGTGTACTTACTCATTTCACACTATTCGTTATACTATGAGGATTCTCTCTCGAAAGGATAAAATGTCTCAAATCAGTGGAGACTGTCACAGATTGAAGCTTAAGGAAAACACGATAGTTCCTTTCCATATGAAGGAGCGCTTGACTTCAGGCCACGAACTTTAAAACTCGCGAAAATACGCTCCGCCCATGAGGGTGGGGAAGTTATTTGCCTTCGATATACTTACTTAACCCCAAACCTTTACGCATTGTAAATCTACATTTTACCTTTGTTAAATGAATATGTTACTGAGCAAGTTTATTAAATAATTCTTGTGCACTTTTGAGGAAAAGGTGGGTGGCGTGGCTGGCTTACAAAAACGATTTAAGAGTGAGATATTTCGAACGAGTGAGTGTTAACTTTAAAAAAAAAAAAAAAAAAAAAGGGGGAGGTTTTAAAAAGATAAATAAAGGGGCTAAGCTTCTAAAGAAACTGTGGTGCTGCGTTGGTGGGAGAGTGTAACAGTGTAATTGTAATTTGGTATTATGATTTGATAAGGTAGCGAGGTTTTCAACAGTCGTGCATCACGCTTCTTGTAAGCCGCCCACGCTACGTAAGGCTATTTAGTCTCAAACTTATTATATATAAGTATATTTAGGGTGTTTTGGTGATTTTTCAGATTTTTCAGATTTTTCAGATTGATTAATTTTGTCGTGTAATAAAATGAAGTTTTGATCAAATAGTATGAGATTTAGTGTTTGTGAAAAGATCCTTAGGCTCCACGAGGAACGTACCCCAGACCTTCGGATTCCGCTGCAGGAGTCTGGGAACAATGTGCGCATCTAGTGAGGGAGCTAAATTATAATAATGATAATGATAACAACAAAACTAGAGAAACAATGTTTGTCAGCACGTTTAACTGAGAGGAGCTATCTAAGAGGGGTTGAATCCCGACTAGGAGAGGTTACTCACTTATTTGGGTGAAATGAGCCGTCAAACGTTCTACAGACAAAACTGTCTTAGGCGGCACCGTATTAGGTGGATACCTTGTATGAAGCGGTGGGTTTTCAAAGTCTGTAATTTTCACCTCTGTTGAGCGGCCGTGGTCCGCTGCCTTTACTGCGTCCCAACTGCCTGTTTGTATTGTCCTTTACCTGTGTTGAACGGTCACTCAAAGCGGGACCACTCAAATAAACTAAGAAGAATCTTTTTTTGATGTTTATCTCGCAAAAACAATGTTAGTAGTTTTTTTTTCTTTGAGCGTGTACGCGTACAGGTTCGATCGTATAGCTTTTGGGGGTTTGAGTCTCAACCGTTCATCACCATCATACCCACAAGAAGGTCAATTTCCGAACAAAATGCGGAAAGATAAGAATCTTTTACGGTATTTCGGAATGTCATCCATTATTAATTATTACTGTAGAAAATCTCTCGTTTTAAATTTCAAATTACAATTTTTCCCTTCCTCTACCCCCTTTGTATTATTTTGTTTTCGCGAATACAACTCTAACCTTGACTTTAGAAAACTGGCGTGGACATTTTTCGCGTACTTTTGTTACTTGTTTTATGGAGCTATGCTCGTTGCTTTTGAGCTTTCGTTCGCGTAAATTTGTCATTCCTTTGATTATGAATTTTAGGAAGTTTCGGAGTTTTTATTTTAGCCAAACGTTGTGGTTCATTTCACAAGTTTAATACATATTTTCTACGGAGTTTTGACACTTTTTCGTAATTTGATTTTTTAATTATAATTACTAGACAACGAACACGATTGGTCGTTGAACAGGGCATCTTCCTGAACCAGAAAGTTTCATTTAGATGGGAGCCTCAACCTTAGACAGAAGTGTGGGTTGTTGAAAACTTTCTGTCTATCATTATTCATTCATTTATCAATTCTATGGATCGAAATTTTTATATGCTAAACGTGTCTGGATGAGGTCGACATAAAAAAAAAAATAACGCACTCCAAAAAACTTTTCTTCACCAGCGACTGGGTTGAAAGGCGTTCCACGAAACACTATCCCACTCCATCTCACCCCATTTCCCCTGATTACAGTCAAACTCACTAATCTGGTACTCAGATTCTACCGTGTAACTGAGATGTTCCGCTTAGCTGTGGAAGGTCTGGGTACCGGCAACTGATAATCCCGCTTCCCCACCTCTTTTGGGGTTGAATATATCCACAAGGATGACACTTCGACACCTAGAATTAGTTCAAACCTGTATCGTCAATTCATTCAGTTTCGAATGAGTTGCTGTGGATCTTGTTCTTGATAACGCTCCCAAGAGACCTTGCGGCGAAATATACTCGTTACATCCGGGACAGTCTTGTTACCGCTGTATCGTTGTAGGGAGCACCATATTTACAGACAAGAAAATATTTCTTGGCAAGAGTTTCAAAACCGACGTTTTCTGCAAAATGGTTAGAGGAAGTACAATAGGAGACGACATTGGGTAGGTTTTTTTTAATTACTTTGTTTGGGAAACACTCATGCCCTGGATAGAGGTTCTCAGTTTGGCGTGTATATATAAGCATATGTACCACGTTGGATCTCGATATTTTAGATTTAGTTGTAATCTCATAGTGTTTTCCTTTTCTTAAAGGAAAATCTTCGTTGGTGGATTATCACACGAGACGACACAAGGTATTCGATTATTGTAGCAATCAATCAGTCGCTAAGCGTCAATTTGACCGACTCCTACATGATTTGTTTGATCTATATGTTGGAGAAGTTTTATTTTATGAACCTCGTTGAAATTCAATTAATATGATATTTACACTTTTCTAAACAGGTACTTAACACTTTTATTTACGCAGAATCACTGAAGAGTTATTTTTCATCGTTTGGCGAAGTGACAGATGTTGTTGTAATGAGAGACACCGTCACAAAAAAACCAAGGTACTGTCAGTTATTAGTACTATTGCAGCCTCTATGTGTTGGTGTGTTAATTGTTATTTATTCAATCTACTCCTATTGGGGGTGAAAATATATTCTGTTCACCAAAAAGTAACAAAACTGGACATCACCGTCGTTGTCCTGTTTGAATTGCATGTTTTCTTTTTCTAATCCAGATGTAATTTTTTTATATATTGTTTTGAATGATTAAAACTCAGGAAATACAGTAGTAATGTTTTTTCAGAGTTTGCGATTAAGATATTTTGAAATTGCAAAAGACAGAGCAGAAACATACTGTTATAGATACAAGTGGTTAGGTAAAAAACAACATGCCCCTGTTTAAGTTGTCGTGTTAGCTTTTTGTTGTTTGTGGATCCATTCAGTTACTGAAATACCAATAATCTTAATTCTCCCATTAGGACACCTTGCCCCTGCTTTTATAGATGTTTTCAGTCCTATATGTGTGCATGCCATACATTTTTTTAGTTTGTGAAAGCATTAAAATAGAAAACATGGTATAAGTAGTACTAGACAAGTACTATTAAATATTACTCTTAGATAAGCTCTGTTTCTCAGTAAATAGTTAATAGTGTTGTTGACATGCTGATTTGATGTTTAAAAAAAAATCACATTTGGGAAAAATGTGGGTAATATTCCCCTTGAATAAGTGTTCCCCTCCTCTTTCCCTAAAGAATACCCCATGTTGTTTACTAATTGTGAAATAAATGCCTAAGGTGCTAAATTGAGGATTTACAAAGTATTTTTGATGGTGTTTGGTGTTTCATGTGTATTGTGTTTTCTCATAAAAAGGGGCTTTGGATTTGTGACATTTCAAGATCCAAACTCAGTACAGAAGGTTCTCAACCATCCCGGATCACATGTTGTGGACAAGAAACCAGTAAGGCAGTGTTGTTAACTGACTAGAATTTTATGTAAAATTTAGGGAAAGTCGTTTGTAGGATATGAGTTGACCATGGGTCACTAGGAGTTTTATCTTCTAGGTACTTCTTATACTTATAGGTAACACCTCTCACAAGTAATGAGATTGAATAATTGAGAAATATCATTCAGTGATAGGCAGACTGTACATGAGGGTTTATTTTCTTTCAAAACTGTTCATATTCCTCCATAAGATTGTCCAGTGAAACACATTTTTAAATTACACTACAGTGCAGTAGCTCAAATTTATTGTCTGTTTGGTAGTGAAACAGGGCTTGTTCAGTAATTGGATAGGTTTAAATGTTGTTTCTGAAAAAATGAAATGGTGTGATTTGAAAGCAGTTATAATGTTCCAAAACCCTGTACTATATATTTTCATGTTTTTTATTTGTTTTTTTGTTTTGTTTTGATTTTTGGTGTGTAACTGAAGGTATCCCTTCATTTTAACATTGATTGTTTTGTTTTTTGTTTTGTTTGCTTTTTTTTTCCAGATTGATCCTAAGCAAGCAGTTCCTCGTGGTCCTGGGCAGGCAGGATCAGTCTCAGTTCAACCAAGTGTAGGTTAAATTTAATTTCCTTGATAGAGGTTCAATCCATTTTAGTTTAGTTCACAATGAACTTGTTTCTCTACTAAAGCTTGATGTTCATGAAGTATTTTATTTCATCCTTGAAGGATGATAATCAATATAACTTATAAAATAATATAATTTAATTACTGAATATCTTTAAAAAATTCATTTCCTGTCAAAACATTTCTGAAAAAATTACATTTTGTCTAGATAAATATCTCATTAACTTAGTTAGAATTCATATTTCTTTTCATGTTATTAGTTTATCTAGGGTCTATCAGAAAACCAAATATTCCTTTACTCCCCCTTGATTTCAATGAGATTTTCTTACAAGATTCTCTGACATACATCTGAAATCTTTAATTCTCATAAATTTATCAGTAATAATTATTGCTTTCCTCTCAGAGAGACAATAATGAAATGAAGATTTTTGTTGGTGGAATTGCCAATGGAACCACAGAAGAAGACCTCAGCAACTATTTTTCTGCTTATGGCAAGGTACATGATTGTATACTTGTGAAATTAACCCTTTAACTCTCATGAGTGACCAAACAGAATTTCCCCTTACAATATATAAATACAATATCAAGATATATTTTCTTGTTGCTTCTCTCCAAACAAATTCAATTGAAATAAGATGAAGAGACTCCCTCTGAATTTTCTTAACCCTTTAAACCCTAAGAGTAACCAGCAGCTAATTTCTCTGCAAAGTACCCGTGCTGAATCTAGCATTCAAGGCATGAGAACGAAGGAAATGATGGCCATTAACCCTTTCACTCCCACAAGTGACCAAGACAGAATTTCTCCTTACAATATCAATACAATATCAAGCAGGCAGGTGATGGGAATAGAGAAGAATATCAATCATGGGATTATCAGTTGATCCAAAACCAAAATCTCTGAACTAACATCATAAGAATTGTATGGCAGATAGTAAGGAGAATTACTAATTAGATCTTGGGAGTGAAAGGGTTAAAGAAGCTCTCCTGGTCATTACCATAGGAAATATGAAGAGAACAGTGTGGAGATTGTTCGTTCTAATGTTAGGGTATAATGGGTTAAATTAGAGAGTATGATAAGAAGAATATGAAAGCTTTCCTGCCTTTGCCCCAACTGCTTGTAACAATACTAACCCAGAATGAACTAAGAGGAGTTTCCCAAGGGGTAATGTACTAAAGAAGAAGGAAATCATTTGCCTTGATAAGTGTTGCTCTGTCACAAGTCCTTGGTGCTCAGGGTGTCAAACAAGGCAAAAAGCAAAGTAACCCTTGAATACAGTTCTCAGGTCTGTTAAAAATGCTATTTCTTACTTGGTTGTGGATTTGAGGGTACAGATTTATGAACTCAATAATTTCTTAGATTCAATTCTGCTCCTACAGTTAGCTAGCTGTTGTTAACTGTGATGATGACTTCCATTAACGCTTTGACTCCTAAGAGTGTTTAACATCTGATTTTTCCTTATAATAATACCCCTGAGTCACACGTTAAGGCCACACAAATAATTTAAGAAATTATCAAATACCAAAGAAGCTCGTGATTGTTAAAGAAATTCTCCTTGTCAGCACCTTTAGAAATGTATGAAGAACAGCATGTAGAATATGTATACTGATTTTAGGGTGTCCAGTCATTATCACCAACAACAGTTCTTTTCAGGAACTTCTGTTGGATGAGAAGAATACACAACCCAATGAAAAGTTCAGTCCTTGGTACTCTGATATACTCTGATAGAATCAACTTCAGTATTGCCAATCTTTTGTAGAATGCATAGTTTTGGTAGAATTTTAAAAATATTATTGCTACATCTTCATTTCTTTCAAGGTAATACATGTAAATTTGATGTATGAACACAATCAGCCTGATGGTACAAAGAGGATGAGAGGTAATTTTTTGTTAAGTTCTGCTTTCTACTACATATCTCTGTGTGAAGAAGAAAATAATGGGGGAATGTGCCAGCTCCTTTACCATAGTTCAGTGCTTTTTTTCAATCCTGGTATACTTGGCAAAACAAATTTAACCCCTATGTCTATAGCCAGAAAAACAAACACTACTGTATGTGACTGTCAGTTTGTGCTTATTGAACTTACATCCAAAATGTCTTTTTGATCCTGAATTTTATATGCTCTGAAATTAATTATGTATTGTTCACAATGAAATTGTTTCAGTTGAAGCTCTGTCCCAAACTGTGAACAGATTGCACTGTATTGCACTGACCCAAATATATTCCAAACTCGTGCTTGCTATTCCAATGGCCAAAGTTGTCACATTCCACCAATATTTGAACCTAAAAGAAAAATGGTTCTTCAAGTACAGTTGTATGTATTGAGCTTCTGGATTTCTTCTGGCAGTATCTTTTTTATGCAAATGCCTGTCATTGAGACTTCCCAAGTACCAAAGTTATAATTGTACATATCTCATACAGTACATCAGCTCAATTGGCTTTACTCATGTACTTGTTGCAATGCCTAGAGTATGCTTGAATATTTTAAAGGAACTTATGGGGAGTTAAAGCTCTGTAATGCTGATGTAGTGCTGTTACAATCAAGCACTTCTAGATTGAGTTCACTTCATATACTAATGTTATTTATTTAATTATTTCTACTTTAGGTACAACTATATATTTCAATCTATATTTACTTGTTAGTGCTGTAGGTAGCTTTGTTAAGTGGTGTATTGTAATAAGTGTGTGTTTGACAAGCAGGGTCAGATACCACAAGAGTTTAAAATTTATTTCTGTTATTCTATACCTTTACAAATGAATAATTTGCTATTTTATTGATCCTAATTATGGAGGCAGGTTCCAAATGAAACCTATCATAGGATTTTTTCTCTAGGCTACAAATAATTAAGGACATAAAATTTGCTAGTAATCTTTTTACTCTTAAGGGAGAACTACTTTACTTAGAATATTTAAACTTGGATTTGTGATAAGTGATAGAAATTTTATAGCATCATTTATTAATTTGGCACTATGATGAAAATAATTTAATTATTGATAGGTTAAATTATTATAATCAGGTTTATAAAGTACTTAACTACAAAAAATACTGGGGAAATCTAGTGTTATCATGGCCCTGTACCAGATTGTACACTGTGTTCATCCTCTAGTTTGTGTCTTAATTTACTTCAGTTACCAGTGATTAGTTTTTTTTGTGTACATGTTACTGTCATTTTTGTGAATGTGATGTTTAAAGTTAAAGTTGCCATTGTTTTTATGATGGAAGTTCATTCGCGACAGATGTTTGATCAGCTCAACTTGACATCTGTGATAGACGTGCAGCAGCAGTAGATCCATTTCTATCCCAAGTGGCTTGCAGCTGTACTCACAGTGTATTTGTCACTGTCATTGCAGTCTGCATGATCAGGAGAATTTTGATTACTGTGTTTTGTTACATGCATGTTTGTTTGTTTGTTTTTTGCTGTGTGAAGTTGTCACTGTCTGTACTATTCAGGATTAACCTATTTTATGATGTTATTATATTATACTATATTAGGCTTTGGTTTTGTAACGTTTGATTCAAGCCTACCAGTTGAGAAGACTGCCAATATTCATTATCACCAAATCAATGGAAAAACGGTGTAGTTATTGTTTAGTTACTTAAATATATACTATTGTGTTTTTTGGAGGGGTAGGGGGGCCTATCCTCTTCTTTGGTCCAAGGAGATACTCATTGTTTAAGTGTTGTAAGTGGTGATTGAGTCTTAGAAATGGTGGAAGGAGAGGTCTAGGGAATGAGTGACTTTTGCTGGCGATGAGTTCTTCTGCAACTACATGTACATGTTCAGGGAGACAGGTGTTCTTTTAAATGTGATCTTGACAAATTTCACGAAAGATAATTTTAATGGCTCATGATTCCTTACTTATGCACTCAGTTTACACTTTATCAATGGCTACCTGTCTACAGTATCCATAGAGGATACTTGCAGTCACTCTCATTTAAATCATCCTCAATAGAAATGTCCACCAAAGCATGTCTTAATGGCCCTACAGAGCTTTCAACAATGGTTAGCAAGTCAACAAATCACTATTTTCTATGTTCATGTTGCTTCATCTCTTAATATTATAAAGAACAATACCTATTGTTATTAAATAGTACAGTAACTGTTTTATGAAGTAAAGCTGTCCTGTGCTCTACACAATGCAATGCAAACTGGAGCATCTTTCAGAGATAATTCTTTTGTGTAAGGGCTTTTTCTCATAAATTTTTGAAGACCTGGTTCACTTGTGGTGATTGACAAGAAGTTGCCATTGGAGACAACTTTGTAATTTTCTTGACAGATTACTATACTGCCACAAGCCACAGAGTAAGCTGTGCTGAATAAGTGAACAGACCGTTTTCCATAAACAATTTTTACAAATTATTTGTACTTTCCAGTTTTATCAAAGGTCTTTGTGAATGAAAATTTAACTTTCCATAATGTGTCAACTGCAAGAAGTCTCAATTCTTAGCTATTTCTAAGTGTGTAAAGTTTATCTTGCTGGTTCAATTGGAATCTTATGTTCTTATTTGCTAACTCTCCTTCTTTAAAACTACTTGACTTAGAAAGTATATTAAGAAATCAAATCAGTGTGACAGAGACTGATAGGACAAAGTTAAATAGATTTTTATGCTGGTAGGTTGGGCATAAAACAGTACACATCAACACTTTTTTAAGACTTTTTTGCCCAAGTGATTATGCAGACTGTGTTATTTATTTGGATTTTGCATATTTATGAATATTTTCTGCAACATTGTCCTTGAGTATGCTATAGAAAGGCAAAAAATTCCATAATGTTTGTTACTTTATTTTTTCTTTTTATCAGTAAGCTTCATATGCAGAACAATGCAGTCCAACTGCAATAATCCAGATGTGAATTTTGACATACATTATTTTGCAACTGCAATTATTTTTAGAAGAAAAGTTATTACTTACCATTGAAAAATGTTTTTGTAAATTTTAAACTACTTATCAGTCATTAATTTGTTTCCACTGAGTCCTTGTCCTTCTCTTCATTTCTTCATTCTCTCAAGCTATTTTGTTAGTTATGGTAAAATAATCACAATAGTTTTGTCTCAACATTACCTGTGGATAAATGAATTGCTAGTAACAAATTTCCCAAAACTCATTTGTCTTGCATAATATTCTTTTGAAATAAGGTTATGTAATCCAAATACAAACATTTATTTTCTTCCAGTTACTTGGAGGGCTTTTGTAGATTTTTTTGTTTTTGCTGTTAAGTTGTGAACAAAAATGTGTGCATTTTGCACATTCAGATAAATACTCTCCTTTACTGTAAGGTTCACAAGATGAGTCAAATTAATCAAATACATGAAATAATTATTGAGTCATTGCATATCATTTGATTTATTACTCTTACCAAGTGTACAGTTTATTACACCTTTTATGACTGATGTTCTGGGCCATGGCCATCTTTAAGTAATCACTCTGCATGTATATTGCTACTTCTGGTGCTTTCTTAAGTCTTCTTCTTCTTCCACTGACTGGTGAAACATGAGGCTGATCAAAGCAACTATGGTTGAGATCCTTCACGACTCCTGCAGACTTTATACTCAACTAAGTTGATGAACAAGTTTTTTCTTGTCTGTGGTCACTTTTTCTAGCTGTCACAAAAGAGTTTGACCACTCCCTTGGATTAAAAACTTCATCTTTTTCTTATATTCACTGAAAATGAAGGTTTGGTTTTCTTAGTTAGACAGCAGTTAGTTTTGGCATTTGGATCAATACTTTCAAATTCGACTATTGATCATAAGAGACTAAAACATAATCCTTTTAACATTTTTACATAATCAGGACATGTAACCATGTAGTATTATTTCCTTGGCTGAGTTATGAATAACATTATCAACAATAGAATATGTTTTTAACTTTGGAAATATTTTATATTAGTGCTGCTGTTTTTAATTGGATCACTTAAAAAAAAGGCAAACAATCACATTATAGGAAATAAACAATTCCAGCAAAATTTAAATTGGTCTTAGGGCCAAAGCAAGCTAAAAAATCGGAAAAAAAACTGATTAAATTCATTGGATATTTCCTGTAATTAGATTGGCCAGTTTTGTTTAACTGATCCTAGTAACAATGGCCAGAAAGTGGTCACTCAGTGTAACTAACTGAAACCAACTGTGATTCTCCAAGGTTTATAACTTTGTTATAATGTCATTGATTTTTGTTCATTTCAGGTGGAGGTGAAGAGAGCAGAGAAGCGTGATACCAAGGCAATGGGAGCTATGCAGGGTATGGGTGGCTATCAACAGCAACATGGGGGTCATCCTGGATATGGCGCAGCCGCATATGCACAAACAGGTATCAGTTTACACAAGTCAACTCTGATGATGACTCCACTTAGGTTGTCAAAATGCCAGTCACTACTATTTACAACAATTCTCTAGAATAATCTCACCTGAACAGTCAGAATACACCATCAAATTAATATTTTTAAATAACTGTGACTGTATGAAAATCAAATATGTGAACTACAGGTAGAGACATGAATAGGAAAGCAATCTTCGCAGTAATGATTACTACTTGAGGAGTAGTGAAAATAAGGCCTGAAAAAAAGTTCAGGCCTGTATAGGATTTGAACCCATGACCTCTGTGACACTGGTGTAGTGCTCTACCAACTGAGCTAACAAGCCAATTGGGAGCTGGTCACTAGTTGGTTCTAAATGAACCCATGAAATAATGAATAAATAACCATGAATATATGAAAATCATTTTTTTTTTCACAGAAGTTCAAGTAGTGGCAAAGATCGCTTTCATACTCACGTCTTTATCTGCAGTTCACATATATAATTTTCATATATTCACAATTATTTATTCATCACTGGTAGAGCACTTCACCGGTATCACAAAGGTCATGGGTTCAAATCCCATACAGGCCTGAATTTTTTTGAGGCCTTATTTGCACTGTTGCTCAAGTTCATTACTGGAGAAAGTGAAGATTGCTTTCATATTCATCTTAATATTTTTGTTGTTCTAACTTACTGGTCTAACTATTAGTATATACAGGCATAATGATAAAAGCAAGTCTCTCCAAGATGAAAGAATTTTCAAACCAGATTAGCAGAGTAACAGATTCATGTCTCAAATATGGAAGCGATCCTCGCAGTTACAACACAACTTAAGTGGTAGTGAAAATGAGGCCTGGAAAAATTCAGGATTGTATGGGATTTGAACCCATGACCTCTGCAGTACCAGTGCAGTGCTCTACCAACTGAGCTAACAAGCCAACTGGGAGCTGGTCATTATGTTGGTTCCAAATAAACCTTAGAAGTAGTGAATAAATTACTGTAGATATATGAAAATCATATATGAAAATCGCATATGATTATGTTACCAACATAATGACCAGCTCCCAGTTGGCTTGGTAGCTCAGTTGGTAGAGTGTTGCACGGGTATTGCAGAGGTCATTGGTTCAAATCCTGTAGAAGCCTGAATTTCTTTCAGGCCTTATTTTCATTGCTAAGTAGTGTTCATAACTGCAAGGTTCACTTCCATATTCATTTCCTCAACCACAGTTTACACATATGATTATCATATATTTACAGTCAGATACACATCTTTTTCTTGTTTCTTGCTGTTGTTGTTGATTTTTTCTTTACTTCAATTTTTAATGAAACACATTTCATTTCTCAATTTTACTGTATTGTGAGGCACATTAAGTATAAGCAAGATAAATTTGCGGTCAGTGGGTTTAGTATGGCCTTGCAGCTACAGCTTTGATAAGTTCATATTTTTAAGTTGTGAAAATTTTGTTAAAATACATGAAGTTACAAGTGTTTATTTTGGGTTTGGTTTTTTGCAGGTCCATATGGCATGCAACATCCAATAGGGATGGGGCGTGGTTTTCCTTCTTATGGTGCCATGGGTCCTGGTGCAGGAGCTGCTACCTCTGGTTTTGCTGGGGCACCAGGCCCATCTCCTGCATATGGATATGGTAAGTTCCAGCCAGTCATCAGTCATCCTTAAAACTTCAATCTTAGTCAGTTGTCTCTGTTCCAAACCATCCTTGTTACTTTTTGGTTGACTCTATTTACTGATGTGTATCTACTCCAGCAAACTATTATTTTAACGTTACAATAAGGTTTGATAGCTCAACATCTTGATAATACGTGGGTTCAAGGCTGCAAGGAAAAAAAATTGTATGGCTGACATTATAGCTCATTGTGAGCCTGTCAGCGGTTGCTCAAGTTCAGCTGGTATAACAGACTGCAAAATTAGAGACTGAGGTTTGAATCCCTTCTTGAACTTTCTCTCTGTGTCCCATGCCTGCGAGAAATGTGTCACAACTTTCCTTGCAATTCTAGTACTCCCAGGGAAATACAGAAGTTTCAGTTAGTGGAATAGGGTCAGTCACAGTAATAGTGTATTCTTCAAAGCGATTTGGTATCTTATGGAATTGTTTTGGTTTGTGATAGGTACAACAGCAGCTGGTGTACCAACAGCATATGATCCTAATGCTGCGGCAGCTGCTATGTATGGTCGAGGTTCTGCTGCAGGTAGAGATTATATCACCTTGCTGTTTTGAATATCTAACAGAATAGACAGTGACTCGACGAGTTTCATCCGTATCATAGGCTGGAATGATCTGGTGTAAAACAGGGGTCGAGGGGTAGGGATGTAGCCTACGTTCTTTTCCCCTTTTTTGTGTTAGTTGTGGAAATGAGTTTGACTCGCTACAGCTTTTCCGTCGTTTGTTTTGTTGTCTCCAGGTTATGGAACTGGATATGGTGGTGCAGCCGGTGTTGCCACCCAACAAGCATCAGCATCAGGAGCAGGGGCACCAGGAGGGTACCCTGACTATAGCAGGATGCAAGTATCCCAAGCTGGGCAGCCTGGGGCAGCAGCTGGAGCCCCTCATGTTGACAGTTCAGTAGCACCAGACTACTCTGCGTATGGTATGTGACTAACCTTGTAGCTAAGGAGTAGTAGGAAGGGTCGATGGATACTATGGTGGGTGACCTCAATCTCGGTCATTAAAAAAGTTTTGATGTATGCAGAAACAACCTGTCTCACACCATTAAATCCTGATGCCCTGGTGGTGGACTTTCCCCAGTAGAAAGGAGTTGTAAGCTCGAGTGGAGATAATTGCTAACTCCCTGTGCCACCTTATGTCCCTCAAAAATTACTGCAAAATTGTTCAAAAATTCATCAACGGCTTGATGTTATATAGTCACCTCAGGTTATTCATTGTTTGTGCAGAGGTTAATGCTGTAGTTACTTCCATTTTGTGGAGGAATACCAAGTTGTCCATAGCAGAGCGATAACATTTGATTAATAATTCATCTTCATTTTTAAACTCGTGTAGAGATAATTTATGTACACTTCCCTAAACTCACAGCTGTTGTTTTATATTTAGGCCTTGGTAACTACCAGCAACAGCAAGATTTACAGTACGGCCCAACACGGACTTCATACTCCTCTGAAAGCAACTTTGCAGCCTATGGCTCTGCTGAGCCCGCTGGTTACACCGGGGCTGCAGCCCCGGCATACGGGGAAACGTTTGGAAGGGGGACTGCTCCATCACGTGGATTTCATCCGTACGGTCGATAAAACAGTAGAACGCACGTGATGGTGAAAGTGCGGATCTTGTATCAGAAACCTTCGTTACCTCGTTGCCTCTATTCTGGAAAATCTACGTTTTTCTTTTCATGGCACGCATTATGTTCAGAGAAAACGGAAGGATAATAGTTTGTAGCTCCATTACCATTGTAAATTGCGAAAGATGTTTTTTCTTCGTTTTGCTTTTTCAGATACATCGACGCCATAAGCCCAGCTTCTCTTCGGTGAAGCTGGAAATAGAAGTTAGAAGTGCAGTTGGTTGGCTGTACTTTTATTTACTTTAATAGTGTAATTGGCAGATTGTAGCCTTGGAAATAAATCTTATTACCTGCGCAGACTCGTTTTAGAATAAAATGTATTTTAACTGCTCAGTGCAATCACGTTTTGTCTTGCCATTCTTCTGTTCCACTGCTACGGCACTGTTTATTTTCACACTTTGTATTTACTAACTGAACGCCTGGAGCAAGCAAGACTCACTGGGTTGTGTGGTCGTTTATCATAGTTACAGTGGATTAATATGGAATCAACTTTGAACTGAACCATCACTTCCTTTTACCTCGATACAGGAAATTATCGTTTCTTGAAATCAGTGCTAATTATTCGGCAAATTCATATCATTGTAAGTCGCGAAATTTTACATGCTAATCTTACTCTTTACTTGTCTTGAGCAACTAATTCGCGTTAATTTCTATTACTGGAACGTTAGTAAATAATTTTATTTGGTTTGTTGGAAGCTCTGATATAGTCATTTCCTAGTAGTATAGATAAGTGAATAAACTTCAAAAGAGCTTTTGACACAAACTCACAAAGCTACATCTCTAAACTACACCTTTCAGTGAACTATGGTAAAAATTTAGGATTCGTTTAAAAGTAATCTGGATTGTACCTATACAAATCAATTTTAAAAAAAATTTAACCAGGCCCCTTCTATTTCAAAATTCAAACAAATAGGTGGCAACTGGTTACGAGTTTGCCGTCGAGTTACCATACATCTAAACCCTCCATTCATATCTGCAATACTGAGACCTCGTGCCAGGCTCTGCCGGTATTCCACGTCTATGTAAAAGAAAGAATATAAAAAGAAAAGTAATCTATACCGTGCAGAATGAAAGATCGTTATGAGGAAAATCTATTCACGCTCAGAGTCGGTATCTCGTGCAGTATCAAGCTCGTTTGCTTTGCGCACAACCCAAGTCGAGTGAATCATGCCGAAGCTAACGGTTACCTCAGACTCGTGATCTAGGTGCTGACTTTTTAACTCACTTCCAAACAATTATTGCGTGACCTATTTGTTGACAGTAATATGGACAGTTAAGAGGAAAACGAAAACGCTTGTGTAGGCGAAAATATTTTGCTTTGTTTAGCTCGAGACGAAAACACGCATAGGTGTGGTTGGGGCCTGAATGAATGTCTCCCGATTCCAAAGAAGCAAAAAAAAAAAGAAAAAATAGCTGAGATGAAACTAGGAAATATTTTAAGAGCATGCCTCTTAAGTAATGTTATCAGTACCTGACGTAACGACACCTGTGCTCCCAGAGTCGCATTTTAGCGTCATTTAAGTCAGTTGTATCCTTACTACTCCACAGTCTCTCTCCTACTGCCAGAGCGCGGGGCCTGGGATGTGCAGCACGAAAACCATCAAAGTCACACCGATCAATGCATGATAAAGGTTTATACTAAAATTATTTCCAAGTAATAATACTAATGGTGACAATAACAAAAAAAGCTTAAAACAAAATAAAAAAGAGCTTTAAAGTCCAAAAACCATTTGAGCTTTCATTCTGATTCAAAACCAGGGGAATGCAAATGTTCAGACCATAAAAAACATTTTTTTGCCGTCTGAATTGAGAGTGATCTAATCAAAATGTATAAGTTAACGCTAAAAACGCCGACACTTTATGGAAAACAAAAACAAATGAGATCAATGTCAGTGCTTGAACAAGTGCGCACCTACCCCTCCCCTAAACCAACAACAGTAAACCAATAACAACTTAGGGTTGATGTTGGGTTAAGGGAGGGGTTGGCGCGTAGTTGCTCAGATACTAACATTGATCCAACATATGTCTGTAAATACTTTGTTGGTGGTTAATTTAGCAAGTCAGACGATAAACCTCACCATGTTCTTGGGAGAATATTGGTTCCATCAACGTACTCTCCCCACATACACCCAGTGCCACCTATCACTAACTCTTTTTGTTCTTCAGTACCTGGAAAAATAATATCCAGTCAAAAATACGATTATTAAATTTAAATATGTCATAATTTGACCCCCCAAAAGTATCCTTAAATGCGAGAAAACGGTTTAAAAGAAAGGAAAATAAACAAGAACAACACGCCCCCATAAAAATGAACTTAAATTAAGTTTAAACATCTTTCTTACCAGTGAAGTCCGTTGGTTCACAGGTGTAGTACTACAAAAACAATCCACAGAAAATAGTTTAAAATTAACACAATAAAACACGAACAAACAAACAAGCAAAACAAAGGAAACAGAATAAAGAAACACTGGTGACGGAGAATGTTTCCTGCAACGGTCCATATCGCCGATATGAATCATTTCCACAGCTAGTTTCCTCAAAAGTTGTTGCTGACTGCTAACGCACCCGCCGATATAACAAAGTAGTTTCTCTCGAAAATATCTTATCGATTTTTAACTTGCTAATTATATTATAACACATGTGTCTGATAACATAGACGATAAATAAACAAGTTTTCAATTACGAAAACAGTCAAATGCGCTCCAATCCAACGTCAAATACAGATCATAAGTGCCAAGTGCCCTCGACACTTCCTTTTTCACGCCTGCAGGAAAAATATGCATGTATGCATGGAACTGCTGTAGAAAGTACTTAAACGTTTTAAGTTTTTTGCCGCCTTCTCTCGTGCCAGGGGAAAAAGAGGAAGAGGACCCGTAGAAAATCGTCTTAGCGGTCTAACGAGTACGCATGTGCAAACGCTGAGGGCGTAATCAAGCGGTTTCCGACACTGCATAATAAGCAAGGAGAAAGAAAAAGTAACTCAAGCTGGAATACTGCTGCACAAACGGCGTTTTGAAAACTTAAAACATTTTTAGTAAAGCTAAAAACCAATCACAGTAACCGCAACTGAATTACTATTTATTTAAAGGGACTGGAAACTCTACTCAAATTTACCGCAGCGTTTGAGCGTGGCGTTTTCCCTAAACTAACTTCAACGTAAAATTGGCACGCAGTCAACGAAAACTGATCTATTTGCGCATGCCCGACAGTTGACTGCTGTGTTACCCGGAAAGGAAAAATTGGTATCTTGCTCCTAAATACCTTATCCCAGTCAATTCTATATTGTATTCTGTTCAGGTACCAACAAGCCGACAGAATTGTTCTCAATCCCTTGCTTGTGACTTTTTCCATTTCCTTTTTCCAGCCCGCTTTCCAAACATTCACCACAGTATCGGGAAGTACTTTGATGTCGTTATCCACAACTTCTTGCCACACAATATAACTTTTACCAAGTCCCTCCACAATTGACAGCAGGCTAAAAATTGGAGGAAAGATCACCTCAGTTTCAGGTGGTTAAGTACAGGGTCTTTCAACGCCAAAATATGAAAATGTACTGCCTACTTTTTGGTTGCGGTGGCGCCAATTTTCGCGGGCTGCAAGTCATGTCTGCGTTCTGACTGGTCGATACACGAGCCTTATTACAGCGTTTTGATTGGCCATTCACATCTACTAGTATGATTTAGTATAACTTAACACGATTGAAGCTCTGATCTTCAGCAGTCACTGACATGGATAAGTAAGCTTTCTTCAGTTTTTTTTTCAAGCAAGCGAGGATTTTTTATTTTTTATTCATGGACTGTTGTGTAAAGCTATTAAAGTTAAGTCATCGTCTAAAAAAGGAGAGAAAAAAGGAAAACTCGCCCAAGATTTGTTCTTACTGTTGCTCATAATACTGCTCAAGCAAAGAATAGTTTTGCCCATATCCCATTTTCTTCATCCACGTTGTAATGTTCGGATTACTTGCCCTGGTGAGCAAATGACAATAGAC